CCAAAAATGGTATGACCCCTGTTCCTCACCCTCCATACTCACCCGACCTTGCCCCGTGCGACTTTTTTTTTGTTTCCTCGAATGCAAAGAGACATGAAAGGAAAGCGTTTTGCTGATGTTGCTGAGGTGAAGGCAAAAACGACGGAGGCGCTGACAAGCATCTCAAAAGATGAATTTAGACAAGGTTTTGAAAAATGGAATAAAAGACTAGACAAGTGTATTAGTGTAAGTGGAGAGTACTTTGAAGGGGATTGAAGGTTTGTGCTTAAAATTTGAATAAATAAGTTTAAAAAAAAAAAGTTCGGTTTCTTTTGGGTACCCCTTCGTATAAAATCTAATTAATTTTATGAACTAAAATTTTTGGAGAACATTTACCAGTGCTCCTAGAAGTGCTTGAGAGCGTGATATTTCTGGAATTATCCCCCTTTGTGAAGTGGCATTACAACTTGCAAATGTAGACAGTCATAGTCCTTTTTTTGTGAACTGCGCAAACACGGCATTGCCTAGAAGGATGCTTCCCCTTGGAATGTTCACTCTTCACAATTTTCATGAGGGTATATTTCCGCATATCACCCGAGAGTCGCCCAGGGGTGTCCAAATGAGGCCTGCATGAGGCGGGAGTTGATGGACTAGGTCGCACTAAGTCTGTCTGACTCTGGTTCTGAAACCACCATCTGGTCTGTAGCCCAAGCCTATGCCACATTCATCAGAAATGCTTTGTATTTCAATTTCGAATCAAGGTTTAGATTTTTGTAAACCAAAATTGAATTGAAAATGGCACAATTTATAAGCCACAAGACAACTTTCACTTTTGTTATTTGTGGCTACAATTCTTTGTTGACCCCTGTCACTTCCACTGTCTGAGTCACTAATCACTACTGCTCCACAAGGCACGTCAGATAGCTCATCGGAAAACAAGTCAGAGAGATCGCTTTGCCTTCAACCGCTTTTGTCCTTGAAACATATTCCCCTCTACTAACTTCCTGCCTGGTACATAAAGAGCTGGAAGGAGCAAAGTTTATTTTCTTTTGGAGTAGGGACCCTAGCCAGCCAGGTCAAGTTACTGAATACCTAGCATACATTCTGAAGATTTATTACGCAGTATTCATTGCAGTTGCATGGCGTCAGAGCAAGGTATAGTGTGTTACAACCTAACGTGTCCTAAAATCCTGATATCATGTGACCAGTCCACCACGTTTAAAAGCGAAAAGCATGATATCATGTGTCCGGTCCGCAAAGTGTTAACACAGCAGAGACTGAAGAAAAGTGGATAGCCTTCTCCAGAAGTTCATGTCACATATGGGAATAGGCTTCAAAGGTTTCAAAATCACGATGTTTTAGAAATTAATCATTAAGTATTTTGAAATCTTTAAACTGAATTTTTGTAGTTACTATAACAAAGCAAAATTAAATATTATGCTTATCAGTTAGTTTGAATTTGGGTTACTGAATACAAATCCAGTGCAGTATGTGATGCCAGCACGTTCTGTATCAAATTCAGAACTGGACATTATAATATCAATATAGTAAAGAAACAGAATCCATCAAAATGAGAACCAACCTCAATCATGTCTGTTTCTGGTTCAGTTTTTATGTTGACTAATGTGAATACTGGCAGCACCTCTCTATTTGAATCAAGTTCTTCTTTGACTGCGTCCATGTTGACCTGTGAAAGGGTACTTTTTAATAAGTTCATGTCACTCGACAAGAAACTGCGTTACTGCATTTCATAGTGCACCTTCCTACATTACTGGTCCTTATAACAGAACTACAGCATATTTCATAGGCTGTTTGCTATGATGTATGAATAACGGCAATAGAGGTTAATTCTCACGATATATTATATTAGAGGTTAAAAGTTTCTTTAAGTATTTTATCGGTAATACTTTTACCAAACATGATACGAATTAGTAAACATAGTTCCTGTTTTTTTTTAATTAATGACTATCATATTATGATGCGGTTAACACTTTGTTTGGTGTCAATCCACGGCTTTATACACGCGGGCGAATATTATAACTATTACCTTTCAATGAGTCAAAATGTTCTTGTACAATATCAAGTTTTCTTGGCGAATAATGTACTGAAGGCCAACTGCTATAACCTCCGTCTACAGCAATTAATGCCCCTACCCCAACATTAATAGTGAAGCAACACAAGCCAAGTGAATAGACTAAGAAACATACTGTTACTTGATCAATATAATACTATGTACCGCTGTGTACTGAACAGATACCCAAATAAAACCGACATTAACACTGATTTAGCCGTAAATAAATAAAACGTGTTACGCTTCCATACGCTATTGATTTTGCTAAGTAGGTCGCGAAGAATTTAAGCATCGTAGCTGCCGTGCCTGTTGGGGACGTTGGGGATTTGGGGATGATATTGTCGTGCAGTGTTCTAATAGGATCGTGAAATGGGGCCGTTTTATATAATTATGTTTTAATAGAGATCCCGTGACTAATATCCCGCCACTGGATACAAAAGAGGCTGATCTAACAGTCTTTACAATTCAGCGTACAACAATTTTATTGACACTCCGCGTTCTTCTAAGGGTTCTAAGGCTTCTAAGTGGTCAATGAGGGAAATTGTGAAAGGTAAATTTACCATTCAATAGGTGAATTACGGTGAAATTTTTGTTTTAGGATTGTTAGTCTTGTGGAAACATGAAGAAGCATCAAGTTCTTTGGTTTGAATTAAATTACTAAATTTTTACCTATATATATTCTTTCCACTTTTTAAATCTTTTCCCTGTATTACAGAACGTGACATGTACAAAACAATTTAATCAATCTGGGATATAAGAAAAGCCCCAGCCTGAGACTGCCATTGAAGTTTCACAAGGAAACACAATTTTTCATGCTTTCCTGGTGTCTAGAACAAAAGGCACTTATCTGGTCTGTCCTTTCATTGCTTCCTAACAATTACATAGTATAATATCCTGTCCATGAGCCTTTACACATGCAGAATCTATAGCTTTGTACACCAGTACAAATCCTGAATTATTCTTGCCAAATCCTGTCATTCTCTGAAAGCTAATATACATCTTAGAGTGTACAAGAATTGTTTCCTGTATCCTTAACACATGAATGAATGAATGAATGAATGAGTGAGTGAATTCACTGCCAGGCCTTTGTACTGGAATTTCACCTACTAGGCCAACAATTTTTCCATTAAAACTGGATTCTGTTTACATTTGAAATGAAAGTGGAAGGAAATAAATTAAAATCAACTAATAGTCACTGTATATTTCAACTCTGAGGCTTCAGGAAGCTACATATAAGAGTTTCCCTGCTTTTGAGTGTATGCGTAGGAGAAAATGACTTTTATGTACCCAGTGGCAACAGCCTGTTACGTGACAGGATTGCTGCTGACAGGCAGTAAATTCCATCCCATTGGGTGACAGGATTCCTTCCTTTCAGTTGCTGAAAACACTCTCCCACAAGGCAACAACAACAACAACAACAACAACAACAACAACAACAACAACAATAACTGGTGCTGGTAATAGAGACTTATGTAAAATGATATTCACTACTCTAAAAATTCTTACTCTGTCATCTTTGTATATTTATTCACTACTATCTTTTGTGGTCGATAACATGGATCAGTATTATTTTGTATCTGATATACATAATAGAGACACTAGACAGGTACTCAACATAAATCTAAATCAACCATCAACTCGTTTATCATTATATCAAAAAGGCTCATATTATATGGGCATCAAACTATTCAATTCTCTCCCACTAAATTTGAAGCAATTATATAAAGATATTAAGCGGTTTAAATTAAAACTAAAAGAATTCTTGAGTTGTCACCCATTTTATACTGTAGATGAATTTTTTGTATATACTAGTCGTTAAGATTATTTGTATTCTGGTTCTATTCTTATGTCTTGACTTAGTTCTTTGTGCTACTTATCTATCTAATATGACTTTTCCACATCCTAAAGTATTGGATTTTATGGAAATAATAGACGAGTCATGAGTTCCATACTGGGGGAGTTTTGTTGTATATATGGCTCATATGTTCTTTTATTTTGTTTTATATCATGAATGCCTTGACATGTTCCTGTGGGAATGGAATGTTTGTTTTTTGATCTGTGACTCATTCTATATCCAATGGTTGTTTCCCAGCCTGTATCTGGATCTATTTTTGCATTTGAAATAAATTGAATTGAATTGAATAATAATATTGGTATTAGTAATATCATGGATAAGCACAGTAGCACTGTTAATAGTGATCCCTCACACTGTCTGGCTGATGCCTTTGACAACAACTTTCTGAACACACAACTCAAATTTTTAATGGCAAAGGAAATTGAAAACATCATTAAATCCCTTAAACTAAAAATACATGTGGATGTAATGAAATATCCACTAAATTACTTAAAATCAGCTCTGCTTATATCACCCCACATCCAAATCATATGCATATGAAATGCATCCCTGTTATCAGGGTCCTTTCCTCAGTGCCTAAAGCTTGATCCATGCTTAAAAAATACTTGCATTACAAAAATGAGTCACAAACTGAAACAAGGATGTTCTGAATGACAACCCCATGTTGTACCTGAAGACCATCAACCCTGTTGTGATAACATGACTGCAGAAGATGGATCATAATGTTTGTTGCAGTACATTCTACCAGTGACATGAGTTCTTCACCTCCCACCTTCATCAAGGGTACATGTACAGACATGTGCCCTGTAAGAGAGCGCAAATTGTAAGTAAAACTTCTAAAATGTGTAATGATAGATCACAACACATTAAGCAAAGTAAACAGAAACTTATAGATTAAACATAAACAAACTTAAACTAAATGTTAACTCTTATTGTGTGGGCTAGATTTAAACTTTGCAGTGATGGGAATCTTACTGCTAGGCCTGGTCAGGCCTGCTGGATCCATGCCTATGCCAACGCAGATGTGTGAGGCACAGACAGTAAAGCTTAATGACAGCAGTGAGTTTTGTTTCATATTTTCAAGTTTCCTTTGATTACTTCTGGGGATGCTCACTGCCAGTCTCGGCTAGCTACAGTTCACAGGGGTTTGCAAGAGAGTCCCTTCATGCTCAGTGATTCAGTTTGTTGCAGGAGGGAGAAGGAGGGTCTGCTGCATCTGTTGGAGCTCCCCATTGGTACTCCACTTCACCCTGCACCAGAGGCTCACCCTTATCTCACAGTATGACCAACAGTGCAATTCAATATATTTTAGTTGACTGAAGATCACAGTTTTGTCTACAGTTATCTAATTATTCTTATCATAACACCTTCCCCCTCTGTAGTCCCAATAAAATACTCGATTTGCCTTTCATGCTGTCACATATTTACTGTTTCAATATCTAATTTCATATAGAGCATGCAGACAGGATAGCTTAGTCAGTATAGTGACTAGGCTATGGATGATCAAGGAATTGACCAGACCAGCTCTAGGGACAATCCGGCATGCTTTTCAGTAGGTTCCACCACTCCTTCCCACAAGAAACGAAGCTGACCACTCACGTCCATCTAGTGGCTTGTTCGGAATCAAATCCCAGTTCCTTGGTCATCCACCATGTAGCCTAGTCAGTGTGCAAACTGAGCTATTTCTGTATTCTGACTGAAACCAGTTACTTTCTTCATTTAACTACCATGTAGTAAAATAAGAGAATAATTATTCTCTTATTTTACTACATGGTAGTTTCTATTATAATAGAAACATAATAGGATCAATTAGAAACTGAAACAAAGTATTTTAATATGAACGAATATTGTAAAATTTCTTACTTTATAGCTTCCAAAATCAACTGTCTCAGGTGATTATGCAACCATATTTTTGAAGTGCTATTCATTCTGTTTCTTACCTCAAACCATTACTAGAGCTCTGCAGTATAACCAGCATGATTTGTGCAGGTAAAGAGCTTCAGTCGCTCAGCTGCTGGTCAGCATACACCATATCAGGATGACCTGCGACCTCCGGCTATTCTGTACAAGACAGTGTGCCATCTTCTGACAAAGTATGTAATGTCTGGACTGGTATTCTTCTCACTAATGTAATTTTAAGATCCAGTTTAATTTTACAGTAAACCCTCACTAATCCGGTTACAGTTAATCCGGATGTCAGATAATCTGGATTTAAATATGAGAAAATCTGTTCACAGTTGAGTACCTACTTTAAAAGAAGTGTGGGATTTAGGAACAAGAGGGTTTAGAGCATGAGGACTTTCAGACTGTGTTGAGGGCACCTGGAGAGACTGAAACCACACAAGAAAATATCCAAGACTGGCTTGAGCTGGATTTCAGCTTCTGATTGCTGCAGTGATTCTTTCTTTATTATTTTCCAATAGCACTATCTGTATTGTTACATATTACATTTATTTGTTTTCTGAGTTTCTTTTTTGTCTTTTAGGGCTATTTTTTTCATTATTACTTAGCAAGGGTTAACTGTATTCTCTGCACCAGACTCCAAGATGGTTGCTTTCCACATCATAATTCTATCAGTATTTGTTATTTCTCTATTCTGAACTGCTGTCTTCAGATTTTGGTCATATGGGATGAGAATTATCTAGTAGGAATGTGCGCCGCATTCAGAGCCAGATGGTGGCGAAGGCTGTCACATTCCAGAAGCCACAATCTTAATAGGGATCACACAGTCATCAGCATCTGGAGAAGAATTAAAATTACAGTTTTTCACTATGCAGTATCCTGCACTTAAAACTGGATTCATCTCACTTAAGCATATTGTTTTCCTTCCTTTTGCTTTTGCAGATACCTGTATTTATGATTGTTATTCTTACATCAATGTAAGAAAGTAGCTCTTAAAATCACACAAAGCACTTTCCAGAAACTAAATATCCAAATGAGACTTCTATAGAAATTTAATGGTTTTCTTGGTGTCCACAGCATCATTGAGCGACAGGGAATGGAGTGGTGCATAGTGTATGACTTTGTGTTTGACCGTCTGCGTGCTGTGCGACAAGACCTGGTGATACAAGGCCTGGGTTCTGTTGACAGCATCATGGTGCTGGAGCCGACTGTGCGTTTCCACAGCTATGCTGGCTACAGGTATGAGTGGTATTCCATGCCACTCAAATCCCTAATAATTTTTAACTTACAAATGGATTATCATAAAATTCATGTCACTGCAAACTACCCTGTCTGGGGAGATAACAAATAAACTGTTACAGCTAGACATATGACATATAGTATGAAAAGCCCAGAAAGTCCCAGAAATAAGTACAGAAAATTGGAGGGTGACTACTATGGCCCAAAACAATCGAACTAATGTATATAAACTGAAGGCCATCTCCCCTTCCTGGATATAGATATTTACAGGAGACCCGACAGTTCCCTGGGCCATAGAGTGTACCGCAAATCCACCCATACTAACCTGTACCTTAACGCTGTGTCCCACCACCACCCTTCCAACAAGCAAGCTGCACTTTCAGCATTGGTGCACAGGGCTAGAGCACTGTGTGATCAAGACAGCCTACATGCAGAGTTGGTGCTCCTGAAGAATGTATTCAAGAAGAACGGATACAACAACCGGCGGATCTACAGAGTTCTCAACCGTCGGCCCAACATCAGCCGGCCTGAAGACAAACCGGGCTCAGTCGCCTTCCTTCCCTATGTCGGGACCATATTCAACCGTATCAGCAGAGTGCTGTCCCGGCACAACATCAAAGCAGTGGGTCTGCCTCCATACAAATTATCCAATTTCCTCCGGCCGGTTAAAGACAGCCTGGGCCTAAGGACACCGGGTGTATACAGTATCCCATGCGAGTGCGGGAAGGTCTATGTTGGGCAGACAGGCCGCTCCGTGGACATGAGGTTGAAGGAGCATCAGCGGCACATCCGTCTCGAACAACCGGACAAGTCGGCCGTAGCTGAACACAGCATCGATCTGGGACACCGCATTCAGCTTCAGAATACCTCCATCCTCGCCACCAAGACCCGCTATATGGATCACATCATTAGGGAGGCAATTGAGATTGAACTGCATCCAGGAAATATGAACAGAGAAGGGGGGTTTTGTCTCAGCAAGTCTTGGAAACCTCTCATCTGTTCTCTTAAAAATCCCCCACCGGGATATGACGCCAGATCCAGAAGGCCACACAGGCCATGACCAACCAACATAAGAACCACCCCCACCCCCCTCAGCTTACGGATTAGTGCCCAGCCTTTAACCTTGCCTTTCTCTCCCCTACACAAAAACCACGCTTGTCCCAGCTCCCTTTCCCCTACCCCTCCCACACTACTGCTTTCACTTGTATACTTGCCCTTCCCCCCTTCACCCTCACTGCTCTAACATAGATGTGTATATTCCCACACAGTCTGCTTTTACCGGTTCTCACGGTCTCTTCGCTTGCAGAATTCTTATATTTTTCTTATACCCTGAAGATGGAGGCGATACGTTCCTCCGAAACGTCGGTTAACACCACTTATACACGGTGCCAAATCCCAGAAGACTGCTTTCTTCATAATTTATATAAATATGTGTCTTGGAATGCCTTTGTAACAAAGTATAGCCATTTGAAGTTTTTCTGACAAGAGTAGGATTAGAACTTGCATTAAAAAAGTAATGTATACCAGGGTAACTGCTGAAGGAAACTGGAGTTTCGAATGGACAATGTGAATGACCACTTGTTCTTATCACTACTAACTTCTGCAATCAACAACAGAACATACAGTTGTCATGTTTGCAGTGCCAGTGAGTTGACAATAGGCACTAATCCTAGTTTATTATTATCAAGGCATTTCTAGACTCATGTTTATGTAAACTGTTTTCACTGTTTTAGGCCAGAGTACTCTTCTTGAAATTTCCGTATATATTTCTAGGACCCAGATTTTCTCATGACCAACTGAATTCCTTGGATGCAGAAGAAAGTGGTATATTATATGAGAGTTATAGGGAAAGTCATTAAAACCTAAATCATGATAGTTATTGCATTAGAAATTGATTAAAGGTAAATATTTTCATGTGCTTAACTGACAATTCTTAAATGTGGGCAGGCAGGTTATATCAGTGGTCTTGTATTCAGAGAATCTCATCCGTGGAACCAATTTTTTTGGACATATTTTTGGTTCTTATCTTCCCTTTCAGGTGAATGCTGAATTTGTACATAACAATATGTCATGACTACTTCCTCTGCCCTTTGTAATTCACTGGCTATTTCTGTTTTGTCATTCGCTGAGTGATACCAACCTTGCAGTCACGATGTAAGTATCAGTAAGATACTAACTAGGCATGTCCTAAATATGAGTTCAATTGTTACGACTACAGTCTTGTGTGATGTGAGAGTATGTAGCCTGATATGTTCCTCTGAAACGATATTATGAGTCTACCAGACTTCATGAGAACCTCAGATCTGAAGACTGAGCAGGCTGGTGTAGCATTACTGCGTAACCTGAATCTTAGCCAAGACACTAACCATCCTGAGTAAGTACTAACACCGCTCTTTTCCAACCCGCCTTTGTTTGAATTTCAGCTCAGTCGGAATGGTGCTATCCCTGCTACACCTCTTTCGACCTTAGGACAGTGTATGATGGCCACTGCAAGTTGTCCTCACAGATCAAACTAAGGAAGATCGGTATAGGTATGGGAAACTAGCTGGGTCAGTTTGCATGAGTCTCAGGGTAGCGATGCCGAAGAAAGCGGTATTCTGGGAGTTGATCCAATTGACGTTTATTCACCTTTTTGTTCTCCAAACCACTGTTAATTTTATGTATCCTTACGCTTTAAGTTATAGTGTTACATGATCTGCAAGCTTGGTCTCGGAGCGTGCAAGGGTCACGTCCATTCACTTCGGAATATGGTGAAAGTCTCCTTTGTGGAATGGCTTGCACACCCCATGCTGGGAATTGGAAAGAATTCGAATTCTCCATGGTGTGGACATATATATTTCATTCCATCTTCCGTGAGGAAGCTTGAACGAGGCAACTCAATCATACTGGCCCTCATTCACAGGCAACTGTAACAAGTTCTGACCTGTCCTTCTCATTGACCTTCCTTTTAGGCGCGTCCGGTTCCCTGTACCCGAGCTAAATTTATGACTGCTCGTAAATGTCAGAACTCCGGACTGCTTGGTTCTGCCAGAATCTAGAAATTTCAACATAAACACCATATTGCACATCCCAGACAATGAAATACGATATTAAAGTTCACAATACATTTCCAGTAATATCGAAACATAAGACTTTTGAAATGAAAATTACCGAGAATTAATCAGAAATAAATTTCATGGTCATCTATAATCATCCAAATAAATAAGGGCTCAGAATGATCAGCGTCAGTACTTCATTGTTTTCCTTAGCCCCTCCATGTAAATCCCAGGATAATACCTTGATAATGGTATGACCCTTTCCTTCAAGATTCTTTCCAGTCCATTTGTCATCCTACCATTCAATGCGATATGGTCCACCTACTGACAGTGCCATGTGCTAGACCAAAAAGGAAAATCAGGCTGACCCCATGCAGATGAACTACCCTTATAACAGCCAATATGCAGAACAACTGAACTGCCCTGCTTAATAGTCTGGAGTTTCAGAATGACTGAGGAGTCACACAATGTGTTTCAGACTTTGTGCAGAGCCCCTATCAAAGTTTGATCCAACCATCAATCGCACTCACTTACTGGAATGTCTGAAGCAACTCCTTGTGCTTTATGATGAAGTTCAGTTGGGCTGCCATGACACTCCTGGGACTGGAGCAAGAGCAGAGATGGAGGCACTGTACCTGTTGCTGACGCTAGGCTACAGTGAGACCCTTAGCAGATCGTTGCATCTTCCAAGAGAGCTGAGGTGAGGTTAGCCACTCTGTCACGATCAAGTGCACATATGCAAGCTCCATTTTTCAAGTTGTATACCTTCAAAAGGCTATATCTGTCTGTAACTAACTAATTAACTTCATGCAGCTGAGTCCCTCTTGCAAAGATGCCAGTTGTGCAACTACTCAAGAACTTCCCAGCATTTTTTGGAACCTGAAGGTTCATTGCCATGTTCACAAGAGCCCCCCACTGGTTCCTGCCCTCAGCCAGATTGATCCAGTAAACTAGCTTCAATGGTATTTAGAAAAATATACAAAAAAGAGTTAAACTTGTAATTTTTATCCTTATTTTTGAAAACAGGTTCCCACATTTCATTTTCTAATAGATGCTGAAACTGAGCAATGGTTTCATTATTTATTTTTCTGGTTCTCTGTTTCAAGGGTATTAAATTTATTTTGTAGTAATATTATTTACCGTGAGGAGTTGAGCATCGTGGTCTGAGAGGCCATTGACTGTAGAAGATGTAGAAGNTGAGTCTCAGGGTAGCGATGCCGAAGAAAGCGGTATTCTGGGAGTTGATCCAATTGACGTTTATTCACCTTTTTGTTCTCCAAACCACTGTTAATTTTATGTATCCTTACGCTTTAAGTTATAGTGTTACATGATCTGCAAGCTTGGTCTCGGAGCGTGCAAGGGTCACGTCCATTCACTTCGGAATATGGTGAAAGTCTCCTTTGTGGAATGGCTTGCACACCCCATGCTGGGAATTGGAAAGAATTCGAATTCTCCATGGTGTGGACATATATATTTCATTCCATCTTCCGTGAGGAAGCTTGAACGAGGCAACTCAATCATACTGGCCCTCATTCACAGGCAACTGTAACAAGTTCTGACCTGTCCTTCTCATTGACCTTCCTTTTAGGCGCGTCCGGTTCCCTGTACCCGAGCTAAATTTATGACTGCTCGTAAATGTCAGAACTCCGGACTGCTTGGTTCTGCCAGAATCTAGAAATTTCAACATAAACACCATATTGCACATCCCAGACAATGAAATACGATATTAAAGTTCACAATACATTTCCAGTAATATCGAAACATAAGACTTTTGAAATGAAAATTACCGAGAATTAATCAGAAATAAATTTCATGGTCATCTATAATCATCCAAATAAATAAGGGCTCAGAATGATCAGCGTCAGTACTTCATTGTTTTCCTTAGCCCCTCCATGTAAATCCCAGGATAATACCTTGATAATGGTATGACCCTTTCCTTCAAGATTCTTTCCAGTCCATTTGTCATCCTACCATTCAATGCGATATGGTCCACCTACTGACAGTGCCATGTGCTAGACCAAAAAGGAAAATCAGGCTGACCCCATGCAGATGAACTACCCTTATAACAGCCAATATGCAGAACAACTGAACTGCCCTGCTTAATAGTCTGGAGTTTCAGAATGACTGAGGAGTCACACAATGTGTTTCAGACTTTGTGCAGAGCCCCTATCAAAGTTTGATCCAACCATCAATCGCACTCACTTACTGGAATGTCTGAAGCAACTCCTTGTGCTTTATGATGAAGTTCAGTTGGGCTGCCATGACACTCCTGGGACTGGAGCAAGAGCAGAGATGGAGGCACTGTACCTGTTGCTGACGCTAGGCTACAGTGAGACCCTTAGCAGATCGTTGCATCTTCCAAGAGAGCTGAGGTGAGGTTAGCCACTCTGTCACGATCAAGTGCACATATGCAAGCTCCATTTTTCAAGTTGTATACCTTCAAAAGGCTATATCTGTCTGTAACTAACTAATTAACTTCATGCAGCTGAGTCCCTCTTGCAAAGATGCCAGTTGTGCAACTACTCAAGAACTTCCCAGCATTTTTTGGAACCTGAAGGTTCATTGCCATGTTCACAAGAGCCCCCCACTGGTTCCTGCCCTCAGCCAGATTGATCCAGTAAACTAGCTTCAATGGTATTTAGAAAAATATACAAAAAAGAGTTAAACTTGTAATTTTTATCCTTATTTTTGAAAACAGGTTCCCACATTTCATTTTCTAATAGATGCTGAAACTGAGCAATGGTTTCATTATTTATTTTTCTGGTTCTCTGTTTCAAGGGTATTAAATTTATTTTGTAGTAATATTATTTACCGTGAGGAGTTGAGCATCGTGGTCTGAGAGGCCATTGAGTGTAGAAGATGTAGAAGAAGAGCTTAACCTTGCCCTATCTATAAAAATATTATCAATTGCTGTACTCGAGGAATTTCGAATTCTTGTTGCAAAATTCACAGTTGCTGATCAGTTTCCAGTGCATCTGTTGTCAGCATACTGAATTTGTTGTTCAGTTGAACTTAACTAGCTTCATACACAGAATCTGTGGGACCCATAATTAGAATTTTTTTATTTTTTCTAATTTCATGAATTATCCTGCTCCATGAAGTTATTGCTGACATGTCTTGCTTTCAGCTTACAAATTTCCTCTCTAGCTGCCTTAATTCCTCTTCCAGGTGCCTGATTCTCCTCTCTCTTGCTTCAAATGCTTCTGCATGCTCCTGTCTAGTGCACTGGGGCTGGTTCTTGAACAGTTAAAGTGGAAGCAGCGGCCAGTCTGTAGAAATCAGTCCATTGGTGACCCATCTACAACAAGGTCCACATTTACTAGAGAGACTATCAGTACCAGAAATCATTTCAGCTATAATTATTAAAAATTATATTCCTTTTTTGCTATTTCTGTTAATTGAAATTCAAAATCACGATCAGAACAAATTATTTTAGGGTCACTCTCTGTACAGATTCGATTGTCAGTAGTTAAATTTGGTCTCAATTCCTATGCACTTCACTTGTGTATCAACCAAGTAAAAGACAGTAAACAAAATGACTTAACTAATAATTTTATTATTTTCATGATACATTTTGATGGAAACACTACTGTGAAATAATTCAGTCAAAATCACTTTTTGATGCAATTCACTATGATATTAATAATGCACTTAACAAGCAGATACTATAGGGTTCTGACGATGGTGTATAATACACAGAGATACTGGGTTTTCGGACTTTGTCAATCGTCCAGATTCTAAATAACTAAGAAAAACACAACATTTCGGAAACTGGATCTGTTTCTGTCCCTCACCTGAGGATGGAAACAGGTCCAGTTTCTGAAATGGGTTTTTTCTTAGTTATTTAGAATCCGGATGATGGACAAAGTCCGAAAACCCAGTATCTCTGTGTACAATACACTTAACATTCCAGTAATTTTCAATCCAGATTCGTTAAACATCAATGCACATAAATACAAATGAACAAACTAGAAGACTGTATTACAACAATACAGAATAATTATCACAAAAAACAAGCACTGTAATATTGCAATTTTGGGATCTGTAAGTGTAACATGTAGGCCGAATATGGCAGACCATGGAGGTTCCTGTAGTGTAGTCAGGTGTATAGTGGGAAATATCCTGTTCCATTTCTGTGGTGTTTCCACTTTGTCACATAATTTTCTTGTCTTCCAACAAGCCAGCAGTTGCCGCCACAGATCACTGTCCCCTGTATACTGAAGTAGACTCTTATCCTTCTTACTAGACTAATATTTCTTTATCTGAAAAAATAAACTAAAACGGAGGAACAATACAAATTCCCCCAATCCAATATGTAAAATCTACAATAATGTGCATTTCAGGGAGCATCATGCACTGAAGACAGCATTTGCTATGTCACTGGCTATGTGGTGTGGGAACTACATCCGTGCGTGCGCTTTGTTACCACAGCTGTCACCTCTGTTGATGTGCATCGCTGCCCAACAGCTGCCACTTATCAGGAGGTAAAAGTCTTTATTTTTTTGGTTTCAGAGTTCCTAATCAATACAGAATAAGAAATTTGGAAAGATGCTGCTAAAATATTAATGGCATGTTTTATGATAACTTCTGAGCATATTTCTGTATGGAGAAAACCATGAAACTTATGAATGGGGACAACCAACCTCAGATTCAAACCTGAGACTTGTGATTTTTTCAGACGGGCGCTGCAGGTAATGTCATGTGCCTACAGCAGTCATAATCTCACATTCCCACTCAGTACACTGCAGACTCTTCTGCTTTACAAAACAAAGGGACAAGTGGAAAGTGACTGCAGACACTATAGCATCTTGGTTAAGGGCAATGCCATCTCATTCTGGAAGGGGGCATTCCAGCCAGATACACATGTGAGTTCTGTCCACACAATCTGAGGTCTTCACAAACATGTTATGACCACACATTTTTACTGTACATGTGTCTGTCCATCACTCTACCCATTAATTTATGGATCAGTTCAGATGTCAGTGTGATCATGTCTCTTGAAACGTGATGGGCATTCACATATGGTAATTCTGACATTTCAGAAGAAAATATAAATTTAGCCCATTGAGACCTTGTATAAGTGACTTGCTTCATGACACTGGAAGGTACCTAAAGCCCAAGAGGGTGAAATTACTTGCAAAAGGTGGAGTCATACTTGTTATTAGTACATGATTGGCTAAACACTATTAGCAGATCAAATTCGAAGCATCACCTGTAGACCTATATCACCTTTTTCTGTTTGATGCAAGATATTCTTCAGATTAAAACAAATTCACTTCAGTCAGTTCTTTGTTTGTGGGGTCTCAACCTTCATTGCCTTGCTTTCAGGTGGCCACACTCAGGTGTAACCTGTGTCTGTTGAGTCCTCTGCTTAATATCCTAGGTTTCTGTTTTCTATTTTAATATTATAACTGCATGTACATCCTCCATATTCCAAAGAATCTCTTTCACTAAGGCTATCCATGTAATATTTTGTATGCAGTTTTCATTTCCCCCACATGTACCATCAGCTGTTATATTCATCTTTTCAGATTTATACAAATCAGAAAACTGTGTCACAGTTATGTATATATGTTAAAGAGTTGAAATGTCTTGTACTTTGTTGAGCTTCTTGTAGACAGTGGCCCATGAAGTGACTGTGCATTATGGATTAACCAAATTTGGCAAGAGAGGTATCAAACTTTTCTGCTTGAGTGTATGTTCACAAAAGAACTCATTACAAATGATAAAACAATTCCGTCCAGTGTGACTCTTGAAGCTTTTGCTACACTTCTTACCACCCTAACATGTTTCGGTCCCTATAGACCATCATTGGAGGGATGTTGTAAAAACAACACAGCAAGCTACGAACAAACATAGGACGATAACAAGAACTACCTTCCCAAGAAGGGCACAAGTTTGGTCCCATCAAGGAAAACAAAAGGACAAGGGACACGAACCTATTCGGTTAAAGAATTTTAACTTAAATAACAAAAATTTTTAAAAAAAACTTTAATGCATCAAGGACAGTTGCTGTAGCTGTAAGAAATTTGGATTTTGTATAAAGTGTATATTACAAATATTGTATATTTATGTATTTTAAAAATCAAAACACCCAATGTAATAGTAGTTTCTAAAAGTATTGATGTTCTGTCCGATGATGGTCTATAGGGACCAAAACACGTTAGGGTGCTAAGAAGTGAAGTAGTAAAAGCTTCAACAGTCACACTGAACGGAATTATTTTATCATTTGTAATATTGTTACTGTGACGGGCCAGAATGAAACAAATCAAATTCAAAGAACTCATTGTATGCTCTCAAGGTTTCTGGTACTTACATTTCTAGTTTCATTGTAATAATTCAGTGTATAAATCTTGCTGTGACTTGGTACAGGGCCCTTGTTTGCATGTGGAGTGTGTGGACACAGTGCTACAATCATGTGACCTGCCAAAGCTTCTGTTACATCCTGCAGTGGACCAATAGAAACAACAAAATGAGAGTTTTAGCTAATAAATGGTCAGCATATCAAAAATAAAGTGATATTAATAACCTTCATCCAAGAATAAGAGCTTTTAAACCTTCCAGTCCTACAGCACTGGTGTCTGCATTTTAATGGGAAGGAACTGTATTATCACTATAAAAATACGAAGTACAGGCAACTGGGCCACATGCATACATCTCTGCAGTCCACATCCAACAAAGGTTAGTGAAGCGAGGCCTCCAGCAGTGATGGTACAAACAAAACACTCTCAGTACCCGTGTCACTGATATTTTTTTATAATTTTTACATGAAATGATTGTCTTGTATACTGTACATTTTTGTGGAATGACTGTCAGCCTTTCCTGTGGTATTATTATAGAGCCTTCAGTACAACAAATTCGTGACAAATAACCAATGTTATTATTATTATTATTATTATTTATTTTATTAANTGTTATTATTATTATTATTATTAATTTTATTAATTACAATGCTACATGTTTCAATCCAGCTGGATCATCAGGCAATTTTTCGTGAAATTCAGTATTAATTATTGAATTGTGTTTCTAATGTCGATCCATAATAGTAATCATAAATATGAATTTCATTACAATTCTTGTGTTTCGTTTTATNTCTCGTTTAGTAGTGCAATCTGATGGCGGAATGCGTAACTATTAGCATTAACTAGCTCCACCACCCGTCCTTAGTGCTGCCCTCTGGTAGCTAATTCTAAACTAACAGTAACTACGAGATTCATCAGTGACTTAATAAAATAAAAGACAACCTCATATAGGCGGTATAAAAAATATCACGCTTATTACACGGAATTTCTTTTGAGTTCATATTTTTAGGTACCAGACTGAGATTACTTTAAACTTCGATCTCAGTAACCTGGATGGCTTAATACGATAAAATTAATTGTAAGTTAATATCGAGGTTAGTGGGTTTATATTTTCTATTTAGGCTTCATATACTTTCGTTCTTTATATTATTTT